TCGATTCATACTACAAGACAAATCCAATCATATTTGACAAGTCGATCCGATCAATCAAAAATTAGAAAATTTGTGCTTAATTGTAACTTCGATATGATTGGTTACATTTTTTTTCGGTCGATCCAGTCTGATCTAGAAATGAACAGGGCTAATATTTCATTCAGTTCCTCTTATTCTCATTTCTCCTCACATGGTGGCGAACTATAAAACCTATTCTTTTTTGAAAGATCTTGAATGAGAACTTGTATAGGAGGCAATAGAAAGAACAAATTTATCCACAAATTCTATCTCAAAAATTACTAATGAAGAACTCCAAATTCTAATTCTTTTACTAAGACAGAAATTTCGCCGACTTTAGGTTGAAAAAATCTTGCCTGAAGTAAATCCACCAGCCACTGGCAAATACATCTATTACTTTGAAACATCTGTCTCTAACACTTTAGGCGAAAAGAAAAGATGGGTACATCAGTCACACCTCAAGCAAGTGTACCATTTACATCTTCCTTCAGTGAGACAACAGATCCAGACACCCAATTTCTATCTTGCCTGAAGATTCCGAAGAGAAGCGAAAACATATAATTGGGTTGGTGCTAGAGAAGTTTCCTTATCTATCTTTAGACAATAGTGATGAACGCTGTGACACATTTAATCTTGATAGTTCAGCACTCTGTCCTTTATGTAATGGAGACTATAAAGTAAACAGAAGTATATTTGATGAAATAAAAGGTGAATGAGGTGCTGGTGAATATTACGGAGAATTAACTTATCGTCTCAACTGCAGGGAGTCTCTTAAACATAGAATCCCAATAGTATCGGTAAAAGCATAGACTTCATCACGTGGGTGACTTAGATATTGTGCACAGTAAAACGTCATTTATTCTTCTCCGCAGTAATACACTGCTACGCAGATCCACAGAATATTCTATATATCATGCGCAGTAAGTACGTCATCTCTATACTTCTGTGATTTAACTACGCCCTGTGCTGTGTTTTTATTTTTAGATCCAGATGTGCTATTTTCGTAATAATGGCTAGGAGGATTGTCTTTATGAGACCCGGGTATGCTATTTTTGTAATAATGAAACCAGGTCCAAGGTCTTATGAAATGCCGTCATATTTTTTGCAAATTTATGGGGTTAGATCGTGGGGATAGATCAATGAATAATTAATCCGTTGACTTTTTTTCCGGAAAGTTCTGGCATAATACACATATTACGAATCTTTGATTTAGCATTACGCAGATTAATCTGACGTCCCTGATGTTAGAATGAGATAAGAATTGGAATTGAGCGTCTTGATCTACCGATTTACAGATCTCGACCCCTTTTTTTCTCATATAGTTCGAAAAAAAGAATGTAATGCGAAGTAATACACTTTCAGAGTTTTGGAAAAATCGGCTGTCACACTGATAGGGGGGTTTACATGTCATACATTTCGTGTATCCATGTATCATATGTTAGAATGAAATGGAAATTGGGCGCTCGAATCAAGAACAAACGGTAGATTCTATTAGCATTAGCTTAACATTACGCGTACTCATTATTTCATTTTTGGTAATAACGTCTAATATGAAATTGGGTATTTCGAAGATGGTATGAATATTATTACATTGATCAGTTTCTCCAAAACATCAGATTTTCTTTTAAGCACTATTATTGTTAAATTCAGGGAGAGACATTTGTTATTATTAGATGGGATCCAGGCCGTTATTATTGCTTTAGCTGAAAAAAGAATATAATCATGAAAAATGTAGTTATGACAAATATACACAATAAAGCAACATAACTTTTATTAAATTGGGTTAAATTCTCTTTTCACGCGTAGTAAGCATACAGTATAAAATAAACCTTTTTTTCCAGTGCATTTACGCAAGAGAATTGCATATTAAAAAAAAATCAATCGTTAATATCTAAAAAACTTGATCCACTAATAAAATCTCTTAATAAAATTACTACGCATCAATTTACCTAATCATGTCCAGTTTGACATTATTCAACTCTTCAGGAAGCATGCTATTTTTTGTCTTAACCGCTGTTTTTTCGTTTGTTATTTCGGCGATATTTATGGGGATCGTTACCATGTGGATGATTCTCAAACAAAAAATTTCCGATGAAATCTCCGCACATGATATAAAATTTAA